CCGGTCTTCAGTGGGGGCCCCGGGTCCCACGAGAGCACTGTTACTGGGCCACAGTGGGTCCAGGTAACTCCCAGCGGGTGTCCTGGGCACCGTTTTGCAGCCACGCTGGGACTGAAGGGGCAGAGAGCGGTTACATGCCTAGGAGAGAAATTCCCAGGGGATGAAGAGGAGCTCTCCCAGGTGGATTCTGAGAGGCCTGTTATCTAAACGAGGAGACGTGGGGGGAGCAGGCAGGCGCTGTCCCGTGGAGTCAGTGTCGAGCGGGCCACTGTGGGCGTCTTCCGTGCCGGAGCGGGCGTCTGGGTAGCAAGGGTCACTCCGAGGTGGGAGGGCAGGGGACAGAGACAGAGGCCTCTGCGGTCTGCCTGTCATGACATCCGTGACTCGAAGGTCTCCTGTGAGTCATCACGCCGTCACCCTCCCAGCCCCCAACACACACACACCCACACGTTCTGTCTCCGGCTCCCTTCAGTGTGTCTTTCCTCCTCTCTGTGTGGGGTGGACGGAAGGCTCTGGAGAAGGTGCAGTCTGGGGCTGAGAGGCCATTAAACTATCCAGACATCTCTAATGAGTTTATTAAAATGTTCCTGTCCCCCGGAAATAGAGACAGAGCCCATCAAGACGTGCAAAGCCAAAGCCAAATAGGGGTCAGCTGAAAGAAGCAGGGATGAATGTCTGCAGGGTACCTCCCTCTCCCTCCCCTCCCCCTCCCCCTCCCCCACCACAGGTCAGAGAGAGCGAGAAGAACTGTGTGTTCGGTATCTGCCAGGGATGCTATATTCTGCCGCGGTGCCCTGTGCCTTGGAATTAGACCCCGCCCCCACATCCTCACTCACCAGGCCGGTTGTGAATACTTATGTGGGGATGCTTCAGCCCAGAGAAAGGTATATTTTTTTCTAGTGTGTCTAGCCAGAGAGGGGCACCTTCCTAAAATGTCTACCCAGTCACCGTGTGGGGCCCACAGCCCTGCTGTGTGCCAACCGCCAGACCAGATCGTGTTTCCCCCCCTCCCCCCCGACTTTCAGGACAGCGGAGGGTGGAGAAAGAAGCAAGGAGGCCCGCACAGCTGGTCCCGCCCGGAGGGCGTCTCCCCTTAACTGCAGCGCTCATTCGTTCGTTGGCTGCTGAGAATCTGGAGGTCGAGGCCCTCCTGGGTCTGGGATGGCCAGGACCAAGAGCAGGAAGCACTCCTTCTCTCTGCCACAGGCCTGGGCCTGAGACGTGGTCCTGGAGGCTGTCCCGAGCTCACACACCCGGCCCTCCCCGGGACTCAACCCCAACCGTCAACCAAGGGTCCACCTAGTGTCCTAGAGCTGTTTTGAGTGTGATGGAAGCCAGTCACTCCTTTTAATCCATCAGCCTCCCAAAGCTGGCGCCCACTCAATTTGGGACTCGCCAGGGCCCGATCACCGAGCCAATAAATTGAGTTAGGATGGGCCCAGCCACCCAAGCCCAGGCTTCCCGGGGCCTGTGGAGCAGCTGTGTTCACTCAGCAAGATTTGCTGAGCCCCTGCTCTGGGGCAGGCACGGTGGGTGCTGGGGTGCGACCCAGAAGCAGCCGTGTCTGGGCCCTGCCTTCAGCACGCCCCGCCCAGGTGGAGAGCCAGGCGGTGAACAGCATTTGCCCCGCTGAGTGACAGTATGTGGCACAGAGATGCCGCTCACTTTTGAATGAGTGGATGAAGGAAAGGTTGAATGAATGAGTGAATGAATGAATGAGAGAGTTTTGTGCTCTTCTGGCCTGGGGACCAAGGGAGGCTTTCTAGAGGAGAATGAATGCATTTAGTCACGTGAAGTGAGACACGGGGGGGACTCTTCCAGGCAGAGGAAACGGCACGTACCAATGGCCTGTGGTTGAGAAAGTGAGATGCGGCGGCAGAACCGAGAGCACCCTCTCTAACCGGTCAGCTTAAGGTTGTGGGGGGCCAGGGCGGGGTGCGAGGAAGAGGTGAGGCTGTGTGGAGTACACAGGGTGGGGCTGTAAAGGACATTGTCATCCAGGTCAAAGGATTCAGATTCATCCCAAGAAACGGGCCTTTCAAACAAGCAGGAGAGGCTCGTGTGTTCAGGCACCGGGGCCGCCCAGTGCACACGCGTCAGGAGTGCTTGTACCTCCTCCCTTTCCTGGCGAGGGTGGGAGAGCGCGAGGCCACGCAGAAGTCCCAGTGCTGAACACACGAGTTACGTGTGGATATCGGTTGTGGTCGGGCAGGGACACAGATGTCCCCGTGCGCTCAGGGTGTGGGTTGAGAAGGTGGGAAAGAAAAGTCCCCTTCTCCATCCACCAGCCCCGAGCGGCCTCCCACCGGTGACGTCTTTGTGCATGGGGACCCATGATGCACCGGGGCCAGTCATTTGAACTTAGTGGTTGAGGCAGGGAACAGGGGCGGGGGGAGACAGGGGCCCAGCCTGGATGCCCCCAGGGAGCACGTTTCTGGGAGATACGGGAAACCCTTGTTCTCAGGGTCCCTGCACTTGAGCCCGGATCCCTCCGAGAACGGCCTCCTGACTCACTTGTGACGTCCTGGCCACCGAACACTCACCATCTCTGAGGCAAAGATGCTCTGAGCCCATCCCTGGCCTGAGCCCCAGCCTGCGAGCTCGCGTCCCAGCGTCTAGCTGCCTGGCATGGGGCTCCCTTCCTCTTGACAGAGGTGGTCCCTTCTCCCAAAGTAAATCTAGCCAGGACCCCAAGCAGGGCAGGCAGCAGCTGCGCTGGGTAGAACTTGGCAGAGCGGGACCATCCCCTGGTCTGTGCGCAAAGCCTCCCGGGAGGACCCACAAGGGGGCCCTGCCTCCCCTGCGCGGGAGGTGACACCCTGAGCTGCCTGGGTTTTCGCTGTTATCCTCCCAGTTCCCAAGTCCAGGTCTCTTGCCTTCAGGACCACCTGCGGAGAAGGCAGAAATGCCACAAGCCCCTCCCTCCTTCAGGCCCACAGCGCGAGAGATAAAGTGGGGAGCAGGCAGGCTCTCTATGGTGAGGCCTGCTCCAGCTTTTGGGGGGCCCGGGCAAGCGTCTGAAGGAAGCCCACACACTCTGTCTGAATGTGCAGTGTCCATCGAGCCAGCAGACTGAAATGAAACTTGTTCTCCTGTCTTGGCGAGCGTCCCTTCCAAATTATCTGAAAGCGAGATTTAAGTTTAAAGCCCCAGCCCCTTCCGAGGGCCAGGCCACAGCGTGGCAGCGTGGGGGAGACCTACTCCCACGGCCCAGCCTGTCCCCTTCCTCCCCACCTTTCACACCAACCGGCACCAATGTGCGGGGGGACACCTACGCCTGAACATCCTGGTTCCGTCCCAAGAGGCCCCCTTGGACCTGGGAGTGTGCGTCTAGAAACACGATCTACTCCTTGGGGGAACAGGGCCAGGGATGAGCCTGAGGAGACCCTGGTGGGGCTCAGGGGCCATTTAAACAGCATCCTGGGATCTCAGGCACCAGAGAGCAGTCTCAGGGAGGTGGTCTTGGGGTCGTGCCCCCTCGGACCCACAGGTTTCTTGCCCCATGGGGATGGCTGTCATTGGAGGGGGCCCAGAGCCAGGGCCCCTCCTGCCACAGCCAGGTACGCGTGGCACTGTTGGTGGGGGCCGGAAAACCGCACCCGGTGGCATCCCAGCCGTGAGACTCGTTGGAACGTTTAAACAAAACCACGCGCTGTGGTTCTGCACACGCCACGGTCCTCCCAAGGGCGGGCCCTCCATCTCCTCCTGTGCTCCTTTACCTGTCCCAGGTCAGCCCCAAGCAGGATTCCGGGAGCCCCTCCTCACTCCCGGTCACCCCAAAGCCAGCTCTCCAAGTCCCTCCCAAAGCCCTCTGTGGCAAGCACACCCTCCCCGGGTCGCCTTGATCTTGACACCTAGACAGATGCAACCTCTAGCCCCCACTTGCACTTTCAGCGAGGGTTTCTTGATCCACCTTGGGCACGGAGGGGCTGGCACGAGGTCAGTGTCGATGGCCGGAGGTCCCCTCCCTGAGGAAACCAAACGGAACCGAGGCCTCCCCTGTCCAGGACACCGCAGGACCCAAACGCACAGTGCAGGGCCCCGTGTGAGGGTGTGCAGAAAGGTGTGTGTTTTTTCTTGTCATTTGCGACTCTAATGATGGACTCACGTTGCCCGCTCTTCCCTTTCTCTTACACCTTACCTACCTACTAAAGGAGGAGTTCTTGCTTGGTAAGTGGATGAAATCCGCAAAGACATGAGAGAATTTATTAGAAGCCACTCGAGAGCCTTAGCTGCCTTCTCCAGGGGGAGAGGACACACTCCGTCTCCGTAGTGAGCTTTTTGTTTCTTTGTTTTCAGCCAGACTATTTGACTGCCATTTTTTGTCCCCGCCCCCATTTCTTTTCCCCTTTAATTGACAGCTACTAAAATGTCATTTTGTGGCCTTGACATTATATATATATATATTTTTAAAAAGCTCATCTTTATTTCATTTCTTTTCCCCATGTGATATTTGTGTAGGGTTCTATCCAGGCAACTTCTTATTTAAAAAAAAATCCAATTCATTGAGAATTTGGTTGAAGTTTTAAAATTTTGGCTTTATATCTTTTTTTTTTAAGTTTCAAGATATATTTTTTCAGGCCCATAGCTCCATTTCTTTTTCCCCTTCCCCTTCCTTTATTTTTATTATTGTTTTAGGTTAAGGGTGTTTACACCCCCTCCCCCCTTCTATTAAGTTGCCTCTTTGGTTTGAGTTAATTCATTAGAAATTAAATTTTGTATAATTTCCTTTTTCTTTTGTTTAATCTGGATCGCATGCTTTTTCTCTGCATGATACCTAAAATCTTCCCGTTATCCTAGCAGGGGGTAAAGAAAAATCTCCTTTCTGTGGTACTCTCTCAGGAATTTGTGCTTTTGTTTTTTGGCGTCTCTCCTCTCCTCTCCTCTCTCTCTCTTTCCTTTCGTTACAGTGCATCATGATGGTAAACATTTCTAGGTTATTTAGACGCAGCCCACAGGCCCGGCGCTCAGCAGCATCCAACGGGTGTTTTTGCTTTCAGATCACTGGGTCGGGGTCTGCTGCTGACCTCTTTACCAAAACAGCCAGCCCGCTCGCCACCTCCCGAGGACGCTCCCAGGAGTACGACTCAGGCAACGACACCTCCTCGCCGCCCTCCACGCAGATCAGCTCGACCAGGTCTCGGGGGCAGGAGAAGGGGAGCCCCAGCGGGGAGCTCAGCAAGAGCCGGGACCTCAACAGCGGCAACACCTCTGATTCAGGGAACTCCTTCACCACCTCCTCACCCCAGAACAAGGGGACCACTTTGGAGAGTCTCTCCCCCACCAGCAGGGGCAGAGAGCCAAGGTCAGTACACCGGGGCAGGAGGAGGGGGTCTCACCGTAGCTCCACTGTCTCCGTCTCTCCCCCTTGCCTTGCACCACCCACCGGGCTCTGACCCAGGAGTCTTTTATTTGCAAGAGGGAGAAAACTCAACTCCAATTGGCACGTTTTTGAAAAAAAAAACCCAAGGATATTCAGCTTCAGGTACAGCTGGATCCAGGGGCTCAAAAAAATATATCCTTGGGAATCTGTCTTTCCTGTTACATCTCTCAGCCCTGCTTCCTTCTTTCTTGGCTCCAGTTCTCAAGCAGACCCTCCCAAAGCATTGGCAAATGTGCCACCCTGCTAACATTCTGTTAGTGCAGCCAGCCAACGGAAGGAAAACGCCTTGTTCTCCCAAATTTCAGCCAACTATCAGGGCAGGCGCTCATTGGTTCTGCTTGGCCCAGCGTGGGCCATTGGCCCACCCTGGACCAATCACTTTGGCCCAGGGGATGCTGTGTTCTTGGTTAGCATTTGCCCTATGCCACCATAAGGGCTAATGAGTAGAGTCTTCCCACATCCACTGAAATAGAGGGAGGGCTGGTTCTCTGGAGGAAAAGCCAGGGTAGGGATATCAGGAGGAGGAGTGGAGGCTGGGCCAGGAAAAAAAAAAACAAAAAACAGATGTTGTCTTCACCAATAATCTCAGGGGAAGGTCTAACATTGAATTCATTTAAAGTGACTGCCATTGAAACACATACCACAGTATTTACCCCCATGCATTGAAAATCTGTGTCCATTCAAAAACCCGCAGTGGATGTTTTCATAGCGGCTTTATTCGTAATTGCCAAAACTTGGAAGCAACCGAGGTGCCCTTCAGTAGGTGAATGGGTAAATAATCTGTGGCCTATCCAGACAATGAAATATTATTCAGAGCTCAAAGGAAATGGGCTATTAAGTCATGAAAAGACATGGAGGGCCTTAAAACCATTTTACAACATGAAAGGAGCCCGTCTGGAAAGGCTACCCACTGTGTGGTTCCAACTCTAGGACGTTCTGGAAAAGGCGGCGCTTTGGAGCCAGGAACGGACCAGGGCTTGCGGGGGGGCGGGGGGTGGCGCGTGCCGGGGGGGGGGGGCGAGTGGGCGGAGCAGAGGTTCCGGGCAGCGAAACCGCCCTGTGTGAGACAGTGACAGTGGGCACGTGTGTGTGCACACGTGTGAGAACCCATGCGGCCGACACCACCGAGAGTGAGCCCGCCTGTAAACTGCGGACTGGGGCTGACCCTGGCGTGTCCACACGGGTCCATTAGTTGTAACAAGCATGCCATTCTGGCGGGGATGTGGGAAGTTGTGTGTGGGTGTGGGTGTCCGTCCCATGGGATGGTGTCGGGCCGAGGGAGGTCAGGCTATCACAGAACAGGGAGACGTCTCAGCTTTTTGCCCATTGAACACACTTGCTAGACGCGGTTTTCCCGCAGAAAATGCCTCCACGCAGCCACTTATGAGACAGTTGTGATTCTGCCGTTTCATCACCTCCTTACTCTGTCACTCAGGAAACCACAACAAAATGCTAATCACCGAGGGTGCTGTCACAATATCAGCTACCGCACTTGGCTGAGCACTTGCTCTGTGCCATTCGTTCAGTGGCTTTGCTCTCAGCCTTGGCAGCGATGCTGTCTTCAAGGACAGAGCGCCCTTTCCCCCCAGCACAGAGCCACCTCAGTCCCAGACCGACCGCTTGGTGTCCACACATAGACGCGGCCTGTGGTGTGTCTGCTCAGGACACCCCTGGCCTCGGCTCCCGCTCAAGCCTGGCTGGGGGCCAGGGCCGGGCCAGAGCGAACGTCAGTGTCTCTAAGAACGGGCAGTGATGTCCCCAGACGGGAGAGCAGGGCCACGTGTCTGCTGATATACTGCTGTCGTGCAAGAGAAACTGAGGCTAGCCACAGCAGCAGCAGCAGCAATAGCAGCAGCTAATGTTTACGGAGCCCGAGACTCCATGCTAGGTACACGCCAGGTGCTTTCCCTGAACCGTCTTCCTTATCTCCTCGCCAAACCTTTAGGGGACAGGTGCTGTCATGACCCCATTTTAGCCGACGGGGAAACTGAGGCCTGGAGTGGTTGAGAAACCGTTCATGAGGGCCAACACCCGGCTTCAAGCACAGACCTGCCCCCAGAACTGGAGCTCAAGCCCGAGGGGCCCCTCGCAGTCACCCGCGTCACTCGCTCTCCGGGGACAGCCGAACTGAGTGACTGAGCCCCAGCCTCTCACTCTGAAATAGAACCTGTTCTTGAGTCTACGGCACCTTTGTCCTGTCAGCTGGGAGCCGAGGGCTGAGTGGAAGAGGCGTCAGCCCGGAGTTGGGGGAGGGGGGTGCTGGCGAGGCACCAAGGCCATGGGCTGCGGCACTGGACAGATCTGGGCTTGGGCGTCCGGGCGGCCTTGGGTGAATGGCCTGCCCTCCTGAGCCCTCTCTGTGCACTGGGATGGTGAGTAGGTGTGCCAGCCCCCTGAGGCCGGGGGGGGGCCAGGGAGATGATGCCTCTGAAGGGAGATGATGCGAGCGTCCGGGACACTCGGAGTCACAAAGTGTTTATTCTGTTCACTGACAACCTAGGACACATGTGACATGTGTCAGGCTTTGTCCTTGGCGCTGGGACACAGGGTCCAGAGGGACGGGAGTCCTGTCCCCAAGGAGCTCGGTGTCTGCGGGAGGAAGAAACAATTATGAGACCAAGGGCAGTCCCTGGGCTGAGGGAGGCCTGAGAGCGGGGCCTGGGGCGGCATACTGGAGGCCCCCCAGCCAGACCTCAGGGGGCCAGGGAGGGCTTCCCTGGAGAGGTGAGGTCGAACTAGCGCCTGAACCGAGACGAGGAGTTTTCAGGTCACAAGGGTTGCCGGCAGGGGGAACGTTCTGAGGCCTGGACACAAGGGAGGGGACAAGCACACTCCAGGAGGGACGGATAGTCTACTGGGACCAGAGTCCAGAGCAGGGCGTGCCGAGAGCTGAGCCTGGACGGGTGCACAGATGATGGCCAGGTCGCGATGAACCCTGAAACCATACTAACATGATTTGCACTTGACCCCTGGCCCAATGCAAATGAGCACTTCCTGACTGAGAACCCAGCAGGGGCCGGGCATGGCTCCAGGCACCACGAAAACGTGGGTGCATGTTATATACGGCAAAATGCGGTAAATCTCCCAGCATGCGATTTGATCGTCTGTCCCATCATGCCCCTGCCCCATGACCCAAAATACCCCCTACCCGGGGGATGTGTCCCACTGTCTCTACTCCACCACCGGAGGCCTAGGAGCCCCTTCCAGAGGTAGGATGCAAAGGGGTGGGGAGAGGGCTGCGTAGGGCGGTGAGCACCAGGGGCGGGCCGGCACTAACAAACGCTCTCCCTCCGCAGAGGACCGCAGTCGCCATGCCTGGGCTGCGCCGAGGTGAAGAAGTCCAGTGCGGTCCCCTCCCCAGCCCGGAGCTCCCCCATGAGAGGGTGCTCCCGCAGCTCCTCCTATGCCAGCACCCGCTCCTCCAGCCACTCCTCCCGGTCCCCCAACCCCAGGGCCTCCCCCAGGTCCACCCGGAGCCGATCCACCTCCTCTGGGAAAAGGTGAGTGCGGTGTGGACCTTGGCTCTGCAGCATTTCCTCCTCGGGGAGCTGGCGAGGAGACCAGAGATGTCCTGGGACCCAGGGGGGAGGGGAGTCAGACAGACTGGAGCTTGGGTGCCCCTTTACCCAGTACTAGCTGGTGGCCTTGGGCCTCCGTTCATCTCCCTGGGCCTCGGTTTCCTCATCTGCAAAGTGAAAACAGTAGCAATACTCACCCTGAAGGATTGTTCTGAGAACTACGAGGCGCTGAGAGCAATACTCGGACTATACTGAATACCAGTTACTATTGTTGCTATTGGCATAGGGATGAGCTCCACTGGCTCTGTGTGTCAGTTAGCTCTGCTGCATAAAAAAATCACCCCCGAACCTAGCATCCTTAAACAAGTGTTTATTTAATGTCTGATGCTGTGGGTCAGCGATTCGGGTTTGGCTCAGCTAAGTGGTTCTTCAGTCTCTCTGGGGCTCACACAGGTGTCTTCCATCCGCTGGCGGGCTGCCTGGGGGCTGGCCGGTTTGCCCCTTGCGGTGTCTCACCCTCCAGCAGGCTTGCCCTGGCTCCTTCACATGGAGATGACAAGCTTCTGAGAGAGGGGGGTTGTGCAAGGAGGGACAGAGACGGAGGGACACGGCAGCGCTGGGCAAGGCCATTGAGGCCTAGGCTCGGAGTGGACGTGACACCCCTTCTGCCATCCTGTTAGCCAGAGCAAGTCACAGAGACCCATCCGGATGCAAGGGGTGCCCCTCTTAGTGGGAGGGGCTGCAAAGTCCCAGCTCAAGGGGTGTGGGTACAGGAAGAAGAAGACTTGTCCCCGTTTTTGCATTCTGCCCCTCAGCTACAGTAGCGGTTGGTGTTTGTGACTGATTTTCTCATATCGGATAATAAGGCAGCAGACACGAGATCTCAGGAACTGGAAGATTCCAGCCAGTCTAACCAACCCGTGGCTTCGGGGCGTCCCGCTTTCCTCCGCAAACAGGAATTCCCAGGAGCAGCCCTGCGCTTCCTTTTCTGTAACCATAGAATCAAAACAATCAAACGAAACAGTTGCTTAGCTGGCTGGTTACTTCAAGACCAGTTCATTCACAAAGAGGAGACCAGGCAGCTGATAGAAATATTCACTATGACCGAGTGACATAAATAGGACAAATCAGACTAAGAGGAGGACTAAGGAGAGAAATAAGATGAAGTCACGAGAAAGGTGAAGTCCTAAAGGCACGTCTACTTTGTGGAGTTGTGTGGGGGTGGGCTGCAGCTACCACCCTGAGCTCCCAGACAGAAAAAGCAAAAAGGGGCATCGCTCCACCAACTGTGACATCAGTAACAAAAAAGACAGTAACTGCACCAGTTGCTGAGCAGAGCAGTTCCTGTGATGTGTCAGTGCGTGAAAACTGGCTCCCACAGCTCCACCGAAAGAGGGCGCTGTGCGGCGGGGTGGACAGAAATGCCTGGCGTCCTTTGAAAGGGTCCAAAAGTGTGTTTCATCTTGACTCTTTCTTACGGATCTTTCAGCGAACAGCCAAAGAGCTAGTTGGCAGGAGCAGGCCATAGCCGGACACTGTGCTGGGGCCTGGAGCCTGGAGAAGCTCTTCCTCACCTGCACTCCTTGCATCGCCCTGGGCGGCGTGGAAGCTCAGAGCCCAGGGGCCGTGTTTAAGGGGCCTGGTGGTCAGGATGCCAAAGACAGCAGGGAGCACCTAACGAACAGCTAGGGGAAGGCAGGCCATAGCAAGCCTTTTCACATCAAGAAGAATTGAGGGGAAACAGTTTCGTTTTCTTGAGGAAAAGCTACAAAAGTAGAGCGTGAGAGAGTCTCCCTACCTCCCGTGCCCATAGCAGACACCGCTGATCAGTCACGGCGCTCTTCCCCCCGAACACACTCAGCCGAGCAGTCCCTCTCAGCTCACGGTCACCGCTAGGAGACCGCTCCCAGCACACATGAGATGAAACTTATTTGACAGCCTGACTGTAGGGTGATGAGAAAGAAGGGCAGATGTTCCTGGGAAACTGGCGGAGGAACTCTAAAAGGGGGAGGCGTTAGCAGAGTGGGAAGAGGACTGGAAGGACCATAACAGTATGTATTTGGATGCGCAACAATGTAGCCTAACAGGAGTCAAGAGCACTTGATGGCCAAACAGGCCTGGGTTCAAGTCCCTTCCAAGGTGAGTGACCTTGAGCAAATTATATCACCTCTCTGTGCCTCTGTTTCCCCCTACACACAGCAGGGTTGACAGTAGCACCTAAACCAAGGATGTGCTGAGGATTAAATGAGATAATGCACCCAATGCGTTAGTTCAACGTCCGGCACAGAGTGGAAGATATAATATGATAACGCAGATACAGCATTGCAAATATTTCCTGTGTGCTGGCTCTGCGTCAATACGATAAAGTGATGTACCGTAATTTACTCATCGAATCTAGAATTCTACAGGGTAAGTGCTATTATTACCCCCATTTTGCAGATGAGGCTCAGAGAAGAGAGACCACCTGCCCAAGGTCACACAGCTAATAAGTGGCCAGGTAGCTAAGAACTCAACGAGAGGAAGCTGTCCCTATTATTATTATTAACCACCAGAAAGGGAGGGGACTTCATTCCCCAGTAAGGGCCTGCTTCCTCTGCCTGGCCTCCAGGAGGGAAAAGACTGGAGACCGGCAGACATCCTGGGCAACCCTGGTGGAGCTCAGCAGGCTCCTCAGAGGCTACCCACTCTCCTCCAGGTCCTACTCGCGCTCACCCAGCTACTCCTCCAAGTCTGGCAAGAGGAGCCCGCCCAGCAGAAGCTCTCGATCCCGCCGCAGCCCCAGCTACTCCCGCTACAGCCCCAGCAGGTACCGGCCCCGCCCCCAGGCGCTGGCCCCACCCCTCGGAGTAGGCCCCGCCTCCCAGAGGCCCCTCAGCGGCGAGTCCCCAAGCCCCGCCCCTATTCCCTTTAGGTCAAACCCTGCCAGAGTAGGAATAGAATGATGACTAAATACTCCTGTAGTCCCCCCTTTATCTTAGCTGGAGCGGCAGCTTAGGCCCCATATATATATATATATCCCTGTGTCCTAGCGTACCCCCCCACCTCAAACGTTCCTACGGCCGCAGCCCAGAACTCACACCCATACCCTTCACACACCCACACCCGAGCCCCCAATTCTTCCGCCCCAGGGCCTGTGTCACCTCAAATCCCCGTCCCCGCAGCCCCCGCGCCCCTGTCCTGCCCACCCTCAAAGGCTGACACCTGCACACGCCGGCCCACCCCCACAGTACCCACCCACGCAGACTGTCCACAGCCGCGTCAGCTTCCCCCCAGCCCCCCGGCCCCACCCCTGCCCGGTGCAGATCCTGTGGCCGGCCCCACGTGGGTGGAGGGCCTCGGGGACAGGAAGCGAGCCACCCCCTGGCGCAGGAAGCCAGGCCAGGGCCAGCTCCCCAGTAATCCCTCCGCATCCCTCAGGGAGCGGGACCCCAAGTACGGTGAGAAGGACTCGCAGCAGCGGGAGCGCGAGCGAGCGCGTCAGAGGCGGAGGTCCTACTCGCCCATGCGGAAGCGCCGGAGAGACTCCCCGAGCCACCTGGAGGCGCGCAGGATAACCAGGTGAGGCGCCAGAGGCCCGGCGGCGCCCACCTTCACCCTCACTCCCACGCCCTCCCCTCCTGTCCCGCCTCAGGCTCTCTCCCTGCCTCCCTGGGGCTGGGTTTCAGAACTGTGGGAGCTCAGGGACTCCCTTCCCCCTCAAACTCCCAACCACTGAAGTTGTTTCCATTCAAAACCTCTGGGCCAGGTCAGCGCCTGGGCCCGCACTGCCAGGCTTGCAAAGGTAGGGGCAGTGGGGGCGGGGCCTGGGCCGGGATGGGCGGGGCTAATGGGGCTGGGGAAAGGGGTGCGGCCAGGGTTTGGACCCCGAGCTGTGGTCAGAAGGCGGGGCTGCGGAAAAGAGTAAGGTTGGGTCAGGCAATGGGGTCCCCTCGATGGGGCAGGGCTTTCGCCTGGGGATGGGGTTGGGCAGTGGAGACAGAGCACCCTCAGACCTACACGCAGGAATCTAGCCTCGGATGAATGCATCTGTAATGACACCCCGAACCAAGCGTGCAGGAGGCAGCCTGGATTAAGTTCCAAAGGTACTTGGAGGTGGGTAAGGAGGAGAGTGCTGGGCTCGGAGGGGAATCCTGGCCAGGCCGCTTTCCAGTGAGTTCTGGGAAAGTGTCCTCGCCTCCCAGAGCCTCGGTTCTCACCCACGAAGGACTGGAGGAAGTTACTCCCAGGAGTGTCATGAGGCTGAAGTGCCAGGAGACACGTGAACGTGCTTTCAAATCTAAGTGCAGAGCATTAGGGCCGGCTCTGCGCCATCCTAGCGGACTGAAGGGTCAGCCTGAGCGGACAGGTTTTCTGTAAAGGTCAGGTCGGAGAAGAGGGACTGCGGTCCGAGCGGGCACCATGTCCCAGGCCTGGGAGCCTGGGAGAATGGCAGAGCGCCGCCCTAAAATCGGTGCCTGCTGACCCTTCCCGGGTCAGCCACGTGGCCCAGAGACCCCCCCCAGGGAAGGGGCGGAGCTTCTGACCCGCTTGTACCTCCTCCCTGGGGGTGGCCTGGGGTAGGGAAAGGAACGTGGGTCCCAGGCAGGAAGACAGGGTGATGGCATCGCCTGCTCCCTGGCGCGCAGGGAGGGACTCCTGCACCCACTGCCCTGAGGGAGGGTGGCCTTGGGGTGCACTCGCAGGAAGGCTGGGGTGAAGGGAGTGGCGTTTCCAGAGGACTCTCGGGCTTCTTGATGAACTCGTTCAGTGTTTTCCCAGCTTCAGTCACTTAATTTTCTTTAAATAGACTTGCCCTTTTTTAGAGGTGCATACATTTATTTCAAAAGGAAACTTGATAGGCCACAGTGAATGGAAAATCAGCTTCCCCTTCCATAAATAGAAGGTTCTAGTGAAAGTAAAAATAACAAATTCCGTGGCCAGCTGGAGGCTCTGCGCCCCAGGCCTTCTGTGTGAAAAAGTGAAATTATCACTCTTTAAGACTTGTCAGCGCTAGTTTTTGTTTGCTTGATGGTCTCAGAACTGCAAGGGGAGAATCTTTTCTTAAGCGTCTAGGGGGAGTGGAAAGCTGCTGGTCGCCTTCCCTGGGGACAAGGCTGAGGCTCCGGGAAGGCTGGGAGGAGTCTGGCCCTCACCCGCGCCCCCTCTGGTCTCCACAGCGCCCGGAAACGCCCCATCCCCTACTACCGGCCCAGCCCCTCTTCGTCCAGCGGCCTCAGCAGCGCCTCCTCCTGGTACAGCAGCAGCAGCAGCCGCTCAGCCAGCCGCAGCTACTCCCGCAGTCGCAGCTACTCCCGCAGCCGCAGCCGCACCCGGAGCCGGAGCAGGACCCGCACGAGCAGCAGCTCCAGCTCCCGCAGCCCCAGTCTGGGCTCCCGGAGCCGGAGTCGGAGCCGCAGCTACAGCTCAGCAGGCAGCTACTCCAGCACCAGGCGCTAAGCAAGGGCCCTCCTCTGAGCCAGCTGCCTGCGGGGACGGGGCCCAATCTTTGGGCCAGCCTCCCCCACGCTCTGTCCACCCTGCCTTCTCCTTGGTGACAGACATTGAGGGCTCCTGGACCCTGTCCTTTCTGTTCTCCTGGGGAGGAGGAAAAGAGGGTACACGCTGCTAAGAGCCTCCACCAGCACCATCCTGGGGCTCAATTCAGGCCTGGGCATATGAAGAGAAACACCCACCCTCTGTTGGCACACACACACACACAAAACAACCCTCAAGGTTTTATAAGAAGCAATGGGTCCGTGACTCCAACACTTGGGCCTGGCCAGGAAGATGTAGATGGTTCTGCTCACACACTGCTCCCGGCTGCATACGGAAGGGCGGGGCTCATTCGTCCCACCTGCCCTCCTTCTCCCCTCATTCAGTCTTGTGGCTGCATGTCCGTGGACCCATCCCTCGTGGGGATGTCGGTGGGGGTGGGGGGATTAGAAGAGATCAACAGCAATTCAACTCCAGGAGATGGGCTCAGGCCGGCCACCTCCCCAAACAGGCCAGAGCAAAGGCTAGAAGGCTCTGGAATCCCAGAAGAGGGGATGCACATGAGTAGGGGACATGGACATTCCAGCTGACGGTAGGGTCCTCTGATAATGAGTGTGGAAACGCAGAGGAAGGGTTCAGGCCACTGCTCCCCATATGCCAGCCTGGTCGGAAAATCAGACCAGCAGGTTCCAGCAAAGGAGAGGCCGCCACATGGCTTACACGAGATGCCCCCTGACTACTCACAGAGACCCTGCGACCTCACTGAGAAAGGACACAGAGGACAGTCGGGACAGCATGGTCTACACCCCCATTTCCCAAATGTGTCCCGGCCCCACTTGCTGGCACCAGCTGAATTCCACAGGACCATCTGCCGCCCGTCCCCCAGTGCCATGGCCAGCTGCCATCCGCAGCGCCAGCCCGTCTGGCCTTACCCTCCGGCTGGCGCCTGCCTGCCCCTCCACACCGCCCAGAGTGCCACACCCTGGATCCTACCCAATGCAGCTGAACGAGCACCCACCCACCCTCATCCTAAACCACCCCCTTTGCCTCAGGAATTTTGCCAGGCTGGGGCGCAGCAGCTCAGGTTTGAGGGGAAAGGCCCACATTCAGAGGGTCAGCGTCCATGTCTTGGGCTCCCCCTGGCTTCAGAAGTTCCTTGTCAGCTTGGGGAAGTCCCACCGGTGTTTCTGGCGCCGGCCCACCTTCCCTTGCGTGAGGCCAGGCACTGAGGGCGAGTCCATCTCTGACACAAACACCAGCAGCTGCTCCATCCACAGAAGTAACTGAGGACAGGGGTGTGGGAGAAAGGATCCTTAAAATAACCTGGGGCATCCCCCCCACCAGCTAACTGGCTTTCTGGAGCCTCGCGGGTGAATTTCGAGCTTGCGGTGGCAACAGCAGCAGGGCAGGACGTGGAGGGAGCGAGAGGAGGCAGCTCCCAGCTCTGGCTCTGGCTTTGTGGAAGCAGGGATCAAGGACTCTTCATCTCTCACGGCGCACGCAAGACATTTGGCGGGAAAAAATCCTTTTGTTTGGAAGCAGGGCCCCGCCCCTCCCCGGTCTTTGCCTTCGCATCAGCCCAGTGGGGCCAGAAACTGCCCTGAACCACGCCGAACGTCCTTCCTCCACTGGGAGAGCGGAGCACGGTTGTCCCGGCAGCCAAGGAGGGCCCGCCTTCCCACGATGCCCTCTGGCCCAGACCTGGGCCCTGCCCGCCAAGGCTTACGGATGCCGATGCTGTCACCGCGGAAGGCCGATGGCAGGCGCCCCAGGAGGGCATGTACAGCAAGTGTAAATAAATAACCCTCTTCCCTGCCCAGGCTCCCTGCTGGACGCCAGTCTCCCCTCACGGAGACAGAGGCTCCCCGGAGCGGAGCCTCGCTTCGCAGCCTCCTTGGCAGGACCGAGGTGAGAGGCCCCAGGGCCTCGCATTCAGACTGCCTCCATTGACGCAACTCTAGGGGACCGTCTCGCCTGGGGCTGCTAGCAGACCTTTTATTTATTGTATGTATTTATGTTTATTTATTTATTTATGTGATGAGATCTTGCTCTGTCCCCATTAGCAGTATTCAACTATTTATTTACATGGAGAGGTTGTGTGTGTGTGTGTGTGTGTGTGTGTGTGTGTGTGTGTGTGTTTGGGGAGCAGGGGGTCTTCTAAATTATTTCTGTGCATCTCTCTTTCCCCTCCTATCTCTGTAGGTGGGATTTGACAAGCCGGGGGTGGGCGGGGACGTTGCTCTTTCCCCTGTAGGTGGGACCCCCTGAGCCGTAGGCCCCAGCACGTCCTGGAGGTGGCCCGGAAGCATTTCAGGCCCCCAGGTGCCTTGCTTGGCCCTCCATCGGTGAGGTCCAGGCCTGCGCCCCAGCCCCTGCCCTCCAGCTGCCTCACTGAGGTACCAAAAAAAAGAAAATGGACAAGAAGCTTATGAGCTAAGGCACTGAACTGGCACAGTGGAGTCACAGTTTACGTGGGGGCTGGCGTCTACAGTTAGTGTGGAAGGCGAAACCCGCACAGAGTCAAAATCACCCGTGAAAGTGCCCCAGGCAGCCCACGGGAGACAGAGGTGCCGCCTCTCGGGGGGCTGGTGAGGCTTCCTTCCGTGGGTGCGTATCGAAGCCGCTGCCTGCGTTTGGAGCCCACGGTGGCTGGGAGTGGCGCGGGGTCCACACTGGGACCCCGTGCACTTGGCTCAGACGAGAAGCTCAAACCTGGAGACCAAGGCAAGGGATGTGACAAAGAGAAGGGGAGATGCCTATCTTGGTCTCAGCCTTATGCCACGGCAGGTATTAGTGGGCAGGGTCCCTCCTGGGCCTCTCTGAGCCTACCTGGTTGGTTTCCTGTCGGTTCCTCGGGCTTCTGTCTCCTGGCGCCACTTCCTCCCCCTCCCCTGCGATGCTCTGTTCCCTCTGCAGTGGACCTGCTGCCTTGTGACGGGGATTCGGCCCCCCAGGGAGAGGTGCACACACCCAAAGCGAAAGCCCTTTTTTGTGCGTGGTCTCTTGCTGTTTTCTCCCTCGAGAGAGAGCAAAGATATTTTTGAAGTTAAAAAATAAGGTAAAAGGAGCAGCGACAGGTCCCCCACAAGAAGGTCATCTCAGGCGCATCCTGGGGAGCAGGACCTAGAGGTCGTCACTGGCTCGCCTCTCTGAGCAACCAGCAGTGGTTGGTGGCGGGAGACGGCTCCCTCCCTTTGCAAAGTCACTCTTCTTGCCCGGAAACAGGCAGCTCGGCTGGGCCAGCTTTGGGTTTGGTGGGCCTGTGGTTCCTCGGGTCCTGTGACTCTGCCCTGCCTTAGCCCAAGCCGCCTGAGCAAAGGAGTCCCCCTGGCTGGGGGAAGGTTTGCCCGAAGGCTGCTCGAGCGCCCCCTGGGGGAGATCTTCGTCCCTCCCGCTCACTTGGTGTGCTGCTCTCGTTTCCCTTACATGTTCTGTGTTTTCCCCTCCAAACATAGAAACTCGTGTTGGGGCACCGGCAACCTTACTTTTGACCAGAACTCCCGATCCCCGGCACGGCTCTGTCTCGGCCTGCCCTCATTACTCCCTGCTCCCGGTAATGAGACAGGCTGCCGGAACCCGCTCCCGAGGAGGACCGAGTTCGAGAACCAGTCCGGGAATCGGGGGGCAGATGTGGCCTGAGGTCAAGGACAGGCAGTCCCTGACCTTCCTGCTACCGGTATTCGTTCACGGAGCGACCGACTGAGCCTGGGCCAATCGCCCCTTTTCTCTGGGCTGCGGTGTCCCCCTTTGAGACGCGGAGGAGTTTCTGAGATACGACCCAAAGTGACCACCCGAGCCCTGGGCCGTTCTTCAAGGACAGACTGAGCTCACGGAGACGTAGAGAAAGAAGGACAAACATCCCGGATTGTTTTTAGGAGGGTCTTCATCACGAGAGTGAAAGCCAGAAGCAGTATGCAACTTCCCTCTCGTTAATGAAGAGAAAGCTAACTGGTCCCAAGCCCCCACCCAGGGACGTTTCTAGTCCATCCAGGTGCGACTCCATCCCTGTACTTCCTCCCTCCCTTTGAAGGAAAGTCCGTCTTTCAGAAGGAAAACGAGATTCAGATGTCCGGGGGACACAGGGTCTCCGTCTCAGAGGCCCCGTCGCTGGCTTGTTCTGACCCATCTTTCCCAGAAGGCTTTGCGTAACGAGGCCAAAATTCAGGGTGCTCCCAGAGGTTCGGAAGCACTTGTTTTTTCTCCAAGTCCTACTTCTGTCTTTTCTTCTGCCATATTCTCCTCCCCAAATACCCAAAGTACTCTCACGTGCATATCTCTTGCTTTTCTCTCCAGCTAAATATAAAAATTTTGTCTCATAAAAAAAATTAAAAACCTCTAGCGTTCCTTAAAAACTCGCCGCGTCCTGCACCGGCCAGCCCCAGCCCAGGCGCGGCGCCCGTGCTGGGAAGCAATGCTGATCGCAGCCTCTTCCTCCCTTCTCACTGCCACACCCACCTGCGCTGAGGCCCGGAGAGTTGTCCTCTCCCCTCCATCTGGGGCCGGGTTTTGTTTGTTTGTCTTTACTTTCTGAGGGTTGTTCTTTAGAGGTGGTTGCTTTGCATTGTAAATACCATCATGGGGATCCCTCATCAGAACATTGCTTCTTTAATAATTTATTTCCTATTTATTGAGTGGTACTGGGAGAGGAGAGGGACTCTTCCTGCCCCTGAATTGCTGATGGAAACCGGCCCAGCTCCCAGCTCCCAGCTCCCAGCTCCCAGCTCCGGGGCGGCTGCCTGCAGAGGGGGCGTGCTGGCCCAGGTAATGAGAGCTAGAATCACCCGGCAAATTGGAATCGGCAGAAACGGAGGTTTCAGTCATACAAATTAAGCTCAAATGGAACTAAAACACTGGTTAACTCCGGGAAAACCTCATTTAGATGGAAATTAATTGAGGAATAAAATGCCTGCACACGAACCAACTTCTATTAAAAAGTCCCAGCTCCTTGGGAAGAAAAAAAAATGGTGAGGCAGAGAGAAGATGATAATCCCTCTTCTCCGGCCAAGAACAGCTATGCCTCATCTTTTAACAAGCGGAGCCAAAGCAAATGGCGCCAGCTTCCTTTGTGGGTCTCTTGCCTCTGTGTGTGTGTGTGTGTGTGTGTGTGTGTATCAGACGGAGTGGCTCTCGGGCCTCCGTCTTACCATCTGCAGAATGGGGTGTGGCCTCAGTGTTCCTGGTGGGGGAGGGGGAGGGGCTCTTAACTCTGATGCCCTGGCAGACACAGGGCCCCTTGTGAGTTCTCCTGACTGTGGGGTGAAGGGTGTCTCCCAGGGCTGGAAATAAAAACGGCCTGGGCTTCACTTGCAGGGTGAGGTCGCAGTAGCTGAGTCCTGTGGTCAGACGGTGAGGGAGGAGGGTGTCCAGGTGCTGCCACTTTAACAGCACCTTGTGGTCCGGCTGAAAGCCCTCGATAGTCAGCTTGAACTTCTCCCCAAACCCAGCCTTCCAGGGTCATCAAAGAAAAGATCAGAGTGGCTTTGCTGTACCACTCACTGTTTATTTGTACCGTTGTGCAAACCAGTGGTATGGGTCGTATGGCCATTTCTCAGATGGGAACACGGAGGCCCGGGAAGGGGGAAGTGGCGTGCGCAAGCTCCCTGGGGCTCCGGTCTGTCGGCCCCGTGCCCCCCACCCTCTCCGGGCCTCCTTCTTGCCAGGCCTGTGCTATGAGGACTTCTGTTCGGGCTGTGTATCTTCTGTCCCAATTCTCGGCTGTTTCCTCAAGCAGTCATTGGCCAAGGACCTCGAAGATTCTACCGCATCAGCCAAGGCCATTTCTCCACGTTGGGGGCTTGGAACCCCCCTCTGGAAAACCCCAGACCAGGGAACGCACCAGCAGCCCAGGCTGAGCAGCCCGCCCCTGCCCGGAACGCCCACATGGAAGGGCGGGAGCTCCTGTGCCCAGCAGCACCCTGGGACCCTGTCTGTCACCCAGTGGCACAGCGGCCGTGGCTTGTGTGACTTCTGGTGTCTGCAGCTGAGCGAAAACTTCCCAGGGTTCCCGGGTCTTCAGCCTGTACGAAACACGTCTGTTCTAATAAAAGGTCCCGTGGTATGGTGTTCTCACAATGGCTCAGTGTCCTCTGTCCGCAACGGGGGGAGGCCGAGGAGAGGGGGGTGGCAGGGAGGCGGCGCTGCCACCACAGGCCACACGCTGTCACCTTGCTCGTTCGTGAACCTCCCAAACAAATCTGTAGATCTTCTGGTTTCCCACGCAGGGTGCGGCACAAATAACGCCCCTGGGTTTCGTTACACAATCTTTTATTACAACATCATAAGCATGTAATCCTATCACATAACAATATTGCACTCAAGCACACCATATGACATTGTAGGTGAAATGTTCAAGTTAAAACTATAAAGCATCACACCCATATTGTCACCCTACCAACCACACTCCGGAGCGGGCCTTCCTTTTGCCGGACCCTGTATAGTAACAGCGGCCGTGGAGGAGGAAACCCCTCCTTAAGCATTTTGCGTGCATTTTCTTCGTCTCCGCCACAACCCCAGGCAGCAGGCAGCAGGCAGCAGGCAGCAGGATCTCCTTCCTGCAGAGGAGGGAACGGGGGCCCGGAAAAGCAAAGCCACTTACCCAAGGCCTGGAGTCGATGACTGCGCCCAGGCCACGGGCTCCAGTCCCCAGCCTGCGCCCGGCTCCGCCCACAGCAGCTCGGCGTGGGGTGCAGGGGTGGGGACAGACAGCCACGGGTGCCCTCCCACGAGCCCCTGTGGGGCCTGCCTGGAGCGGTGGCTGTAAAAAAACTGGTGCACAGAACACACGTGGTGAATCTCAGTGAGCGTGGCTGCTGCCACCTAAGACGGGACCACCGAGCAAGGTGGGGCTGTGACCCTGGCGTACAGTACAGGCTGCTGCCCTGGAGAGCAGGCCTTGAAGACCCCTCGGGTGGGGGCGCGGTGGTGGGGGGCAGGGGAGGGAAGCGGACAGGGTCAGGACTGTGGGGGCTGCGGAGCCCCATTCCCCCTGTCAGGGAGAAATCCCCCCACTTTCTCAAGAAAACCCAAACGTTTAGGTAACAATCTCCTGGCTTTTAAAATGGTTGTAACTAATTTTTTATGTGAGTCAAAAATACACACACACTCACACACAGATATTGTGGATCATCTCGGGGGCCAGGCAGGAGGATGACCCGGGCCCTGACCTCCCTGCCCCTCAGCTTAACCCCCCCCCCCCCCCCCGGCCAGCTTCCTGCCCCTCTGGAAATCCCCTCTGGGAATGATGGGGACCGGATGTCCTCCCTGAGGTCAACCAGAGCTGCCCCCCACTAACACCCCAACACCCGCACACTGACCTCTTTCTCCCCAAGCAGGGGCAGGGCTACCACCCCCATCTCCTCTCCTGAGGCCCCCTCAGTGGAGAACAGTAACAACACAGTTATAATAACACCAACCCCCTCTGATGGACCGATTAGCACGTGCCAAGCCCTTTTCATTCATGGACTTACTTCATTTTCCTAACAACCCGATTTAGCCCCATTTGACAGAGCAGGATGTTGAAGCCCAGAGAAGCCCACACGGCTGGTGGATGTCTGAACCTAGGTCCGTGGGCGCCAGGGCGTTTCTGCTGCGCCCCTCTGCCTCTGAGGGCGTGAGCCCCGTCCACGGCGAGCTAGCCCTCCGTAGGGCCCCTGCTACCCTTTTCCAGGAAATGCGGCTGCCAGGAGTGTTTCCCTGTGACGCCAGCCACCTGTCACTGACTCGGCGGAGGAGGATTTCACCTGTCTGTCTCCTGCCCTGGCCCCCAGTGACAGGAGTCGGTGTGTGTGTCCCTCCCACGATTGTTCGGAACAGATGCCCCACCCCCTCCCAGCCTCCACGGCCCTGGCTGTCGGGGGGCGTGAGACCGGCTTCCCCAGAGGTCCCTCTCTCAGCCAGGTGCGTGCGCAGCTGCCCAGGGATGGGGCGGGGGCAGCCAGGAGCCAGCGCCCTCACCTTCTGCAGCCCGGGGGGGGGCACAGGCAGCCCTTCACAGACAAGCAGGGGGTGGGGGTGGGGAATCAAACTCCCAGAGACACAAGGTCCAAGACTCCCAGCCCCGCTTGCGTTGTGACCTAAGCAAGCCCAGCCTTCTCTGGGACCCGGTTCTGCCACCCGGTACAGGAGCTTGGCTTAGGCCGGCGGCTTTCAACCGTGGCTGCACCGTGGAGCCACCTGGGAACCTTCCAAAGCCACTCACGCCTGGGCCCCACCCCATCCAAACAGAAAGAATTGCTCTGGGCAGGTGCCGGAGGTCAGTGCCCTGAAAGGCTTCCTGGGGACGACTAACGAGGAGCTGGGATTGAGAATGACCGAATTCCACGGCACCCAAAACGCTGCCTGCTGTCCAGACCTGCTGTCCTCAAAGGGCCGTGACCTGCCGTCGGGGTGGCGACACCAGCAGCAGCAGCAGCACCTGCCCACACAGCGCAGGGCCTGCTGCGGCCCACGCCGGTTCCGAGCTCCTCGCCTGCAGTAACGTGAATTACGCTATTTCATCCTCCCAGCATCCTTCTGAAGCAGGTCCTGCTTTCACCCTGGTGCCACAGACGCAGAAACCGAGGCTCGGGCAGGTTGCCCCCCGTAACACAGCTGGATGCAAGGACGACGGTGAGTCCAAAGGGGCAGCCTGGGAGGCTCAAGGGCAGCATCGCAGAAAGACCAGTGTCTAGGCTGCTGCTTGGGAGAGGAGGAGAGCTGCCCAGGCTGGGAAAGGGGGCTCAGGAGAGAGGAGGGAGCAAGGGGACCCCCAGGAGGGGTGACGGGGAGTGTACGGGCCGAGGACCGACTTCGGTCTGCCTCAGTCGGCTCCTCACCCCCCACCCACCCACCCACGCGCCTTCCATGGCGCTTCTTACTGTCTGTAATCAGTGCGTTCGCTTGTTGACGCATCTCCGAGGGGATAGGCCCTGCCTGCCTGTTGCTCCCCATCCCTGCCTGCCCGGCGGGGACCGCCCCACCAGGCCCAGCCGCCTTCCGAGAGCGGGGCTCTCTTCCAAGTCCCAGGCATTTTTGTGCTGGTTTCACTTTATGTGGGACGTGGGGTGTGGGGACTGTGGCTTCTGAAGGGCTGTGACGTGTCCTACACGGGGAGTCCGAGGATCCCTCGTGCTCCCCCCGTGGGGCGGAGGCCCTCCCTAGGGGTGACAGGAGGCAGCGAAGGCAGGCCGACACAGGCACGTGGGGAGCTCTGAGGCTGATTTCCTGAAGCCAGACAATACAAGATGTTTCCAATTAACTTTGTGTTCAATTCTAGTCAGTATTCAGTGCCAGATTGGTTTCGGGTCGCACAGCGTAGTGGATAGACGTTTATACAACTTACAAAGTGATCCCCCCAATAACTTCAGGACCCTCCAGGCACCGTACACCGTTATCACAATATTATTGGCAACATTCCCTGGGCTGTACTTCACAGCCCTGAGACTACTTTGTCACTCCCAGCCTGCACTTTAAACATTTTAAAAAATTTATTGATTGATTTTAGAGAGAGAGGAGAGGAGAAAGAGAAACACCAGTCTGTTGTTTCACTTATTTCTGCATTCATTGGTTGGTTCCTTTTTTAAAAAAACATTCTCACCTGCGGATGTTTATTGATTTTAAAGAGAGGGGACAGAAAAGAGAGAGAGAGAGAAACATCAAAGGGAGGGAAACATCGACCCGTTGCCTCCCACACGCACCACGACCGGGGATTGAACCTGCAGCCTAGGTGTGTGCCCTGACTGGGGAGCTGAACCCACAGCCAGGACGACGCTCTAGCCAACCGAGCTCCCTGGCCTGGGCCCAACCTGTGCCTCTTAATCCCTTCACCTTTTTTACCCCTCCCCTGTGGCAGCCATCAGTCTGTTCTCTGTGTCTGGGTTTGTTTCCCTTTTGTTTGTTCATTTATTTTGTTCTTTAGATTCCATGTGTAAGTGAGATCATATGGCATGCGCCTCTCTCCGACTTAGTTCCCTGGG